CATGCTCATCCTAAATTCACCACTGTCGGTAGTTTCAAGAATTAACGCAGTCATTTACTGAATATTCTTTTAAAAAAATAAATTTTAAATTAATTATTTATAGGAGATAAGTATTATGATCAGAAAATATACAGATATGCATTACTGACCACCTCGAACACAAAGACGGCTAAAAATAGCCACAGGAGGTCACAGTCAAGGTCACTTTCCCTTTCTTGTCTCGTCACTGGCAAATGGGGGAGGGAGGTGATGATTGCAGTTGTGTTTATTACCGGGGTACATTGTTCTTTTACGGTATGTTAGACAGGTTTATAATACATTTTTATTATTTTAATATACCGGTAACCTTAATTTTAATCCAGCTCCCGAAACGTAAGTTTCAGTATAAAATAATTAGAGGTAGGACCTTGTGAGTGGTTTACAATGTTTCCATCACCACTCTTGACACGCTAAACCACAATATTTAAGAGGTAAGAATTTTATACCTGGTGATTAAGACGACGACCTAACTTTGGGCTGATTTTTTTAAGGTTCAAATTCCGTCTTACAGGCCGAGATATACGGTAATCATCGAACATAATACTACAGGTATTATAAAAAATACAGTAACATGTCGATATTATACAAAAAGTAGCACTCCATTACATAAACAGCTCCTTCCCTTCTCATAATCATCCTGTGGGTTATGCCAATATGCCAACAAGACAAGCAGGTACTGGGCTGGCTGTTACCTCTCTATGTAAACAAAACACCAGGAATCTAATATCACAAAATAATTCATCTGGGGTTGAGTGTGGGAATTTTTTTTAATTAATTACTTTATGGTAACGTTTTATTAACCTGGTGCCAAATGACCCTAAATATTGTAATATGGGAATTATGGTGAAATTGAATAATGTTGTATTAAGGAGGTTGGAGGGGTGCCGAGTGCTCGGGAACTGGGGGAAGCTCAGTCCATCACCTAACCACCCAACTCCCATACATATTTCACTTTCTACAGAAAAATTTTCTCATTTTATAGTTTTATATTTTCTTTTCTTTATTTCTAAGCCACAATAGAGCATTGAAGTAATATTTATATTATATTTTCTTTATTTCAAGTTATATTAGGACATTGAAATGATATTTCCACAACTTTATGGTTTCTTATGAAAATAAGCACTGTGGCAGCCAGCGCTTGGCTATGAATTATGAATATTTGACTACCAAATTAAAAAGAAAAAAGGGGGGGGGGGGAGGTAGTAATATAGGTACCCACAAATTTCATTACATTTCATGAATTATTGTGACTCCACTGTAACCAATTTTGAAGGGGTTTAGGCAGACAGTATCTACTGACTGTTTGTGGGGAGCAGTGAGTTTGATATGACAGAGGAAGATCTCCAAGACTGACTGGAGGAGATCATAGAGTAGGTGACAAACTCCTTTGAGGGTCCTCCACCAGAGGAGCAAAATGCTACTGATGAGGATGTTGAGGTGGAGGTGGTCCCAGGCTGAACATTGGACAAGCGAGGGAGGACCTGGATGAGTTAATCGGCTTTGTGGCTGTGACAGATGTACCAAACCCACCTACAGGAGATGAGGAGGTTGGTTGTCGATGAACAGCAGAGGCAGCACAATATTGGTGACTACTCCACTTTACAAAGTTTCCCAAGCCAGTCTCCAGAAAAGCCAGCCGTGCTTCTGATGTCTGTCTCATCACCACAAATGTCTCTGAGCCAGGACCAAGTGGCCCTCATCTTTGGATACAGGAGGTCCCTCATGCAGCACTCCATTGAAAGACCCCATGTGTGATAATTTAAAAGTCCTTTCAAAAATTATGACGGGGGATGGGCTATACCAAGTTACTTCCAACCAATTCATCCTCCTGTTTCTGCCTATGAAGCAAGTATACATCACAGTAGAGCACGTCCTTCAAATTCACGGAGGTTAGGTTCTCAAAATGGCCGTGAATCGCCAAATCTGCGAATAACGTTTGCTGACCGGGGGGGGGCTACATTACATTTTTACTTGTGTACAAAGAAATATATATTCCCTTTATGTGTTTACCCTTAGGACAATTATTTCTTTTACCTGTACAATATTAAATATATGTGTGTGTGTGCGCACACACACACACACAAAACACATACAATTAAATACAGGCACTCCCCGACTTATGACGGGGTTAGGGACCAACATCCAGGTCGTAAGTCAGAAATGCTTAAATAACACATAGAAAATCGAAAATTTGGGTCTCTTTTACTTCTCAGCACTACAAAACACTCACTTTTAAGCTTGCCAGCCATTTTAAAGTGAATTACAGATGAAAATTTTGTCTGTGTACTGACTTTGGGACTCAAAAATACGTAATTTGACCACATTTTGGTACGACTGAGGCAGGTCATAAGTGCAGGTGGACGTAAGTCAAGTCGGTCGTAAGTCGGGGAGTACCTGTAATGGGAAAATCCTCTCACAAATAACCAGAAACAAATTTACTATTAAAAATGTTAAGTCTACTCCATGCTTTGTTATTAATAAAGCATACAGTGTACTTGAGGGTAGATTGAACATTTTTAATACTACATTTGTTTCTGGTTATTTGTGAGAGGGTTTTCCCATTATTATTCATTTGTATGCGTTTTGTGTGTGTGTGTGTGTGTGTGTGTGTGTGTGTGTGTGTGTCTACGGATTAGCACCCAGGTACGATGGCCATCCAGACAAGATTATCGACAAGACCATCTCCCACAGTACCAGATCTATAGTTAATCTATGTGTTGACTCTATGTTTCTTATATATTTTGTATTGAAAGCTTTTGTCAATCAAGTGACCCACTTCCCAATTTCACCATATGTATCTGATCACCTCTGTCCATTGTATATTTTCAGCTTCGGGCCGCCATGTTATCTTAATAAACCGTTTATTATTATTATTACAGGTAATCATATATACCTAGACCCCGACTTACGACGGGGTTAGGGACCCAAATCCAGGTCGTAAGTCCGACATAGATTAAAAAAAATAAAAAATCTACAATGAAATACAGTACAGTAAAAGTAATGAATAATGATGAATGGATACAGTACAGTGAAAGTAATAAATAATAAGGAATGGATACAGTGTGACTGAGCACTTAACCTTTAATGTAGTCAGCTGAATGCACATGGGGCCCCCATAATTTTCTAATTATACATGGAGACTACATTAACTGGAAACGTTTCGGTATAGAAAATGCGTGTCATTTAAATTTTTTTTTTTTTTTTTTTTTATCTATATCTGAGGCGGTCGTAAGTCCCGACGGTCGTAAGTCCACGTAGTCGTAAGTCGGGGTCTAGGTGTATACAATACAGGTAAAGGAAATTACTGTCTCTAGAACGAAGGACTCCCTGTCCCGGCTGCGAAAATGCCGGCAACTTTAAAACTACCCACAGACATTCTTGGGTACAACCAGGGTGTCATCCGCAAATAATAGAGGATCGCAAAAAAATCCGTGAATTATCCGGGCGTTCTGTACAGGTATGTGTAGGGGAGTGGCACTGTAATGTTTACGTTATTGGCAATGTTAAAGTACAGTATTAGTAAAGGTATATCTCGCTATACACTGGACAAGCATTCTTTAAAAGTGTCACATTAATTGCAACATGTACAGTCAACAAGTTTACTATACACCTACTAATATAAATAGGGGATACATTCCTGGGGGTCATTTGTGGTCAAAATATTCTCACCAAAATATAAATTAAATACCTAAATTACATTAAAAAGGTTAAAACAAACATTTATATACAAAGATATGCCAATAAGATAACATTTACCTGAGTTGGTTAAGGAAACTGTGTATAGAGGCCAGCAAGTACAGGTATAGGGAGAGATGGAGTTATTGAGACTAAGCTGTAGGATTGCCTGCCTCTTTATCTAGGGATGGATATTTAAAATATTGGTTCAAAGACAACTAGACAACTTCTTTCTTCTTCTGTTTGTATATCTCCTTGTAGCAGTTAATGTCATAGGGTGTTAACTGTAGAGCTGCATCCTCTGTTTGGATCACACTAACTCAAGATGGTAGGCAGGCCAAACACTGGTGATGCCAACAAGTCATTCACAAGCATCAAAATGCCATAAAACATCTCATTTAACATCTAGATTAATGACTTTCCTTGTTTCTTCTCACCAGAGCCACAAATATTACTTACTGGACAGTTTTCACTCATTTTACGGTTATGGTATACAGATCAAGCAAATGTAGAGGTGAAGCATAAAATGACCCTGGGGAGAGGAAATAGCAGACGTCAGTGGTTGTTTGACATTCTAAGGCTACCCAAAGTTGTCCTCTGCTGTCAAGTAATTTTGTTTTAAAATCTTAGGAAAAAATTTAATTTTTTCTCTAATTCATCAATAAAGTATAGCAAGGCTTTACCAATGTCTGGGAATGCTTAGGTTGAATTTGGGGGGATGTATAGTAATACATATCTAAAACTTACCAGAAAAGGTGTCTAAGTGACAAGATTCTGGTAATAAGGAATAATTCCCATTAACGAGAGACATCCAGAGTGACTGGAAAATTCATGATATTGGAGGTGATATGCACCAAGTGTTCCGTTACTGAGAGATATTACCGTATAAAACATAAGGAATGATGGGACCAGAAAATACAGTTGAGTACTGTATTACAAAGAGAATGACTTAACAAAATATAAAATTGAAGTACTGGTGAGGTATGAACATGTGAAGAGAATGGATGAGACAATGATTACTACAATAAATGAATGTACGATGGGCATGATAAAATACAAATGGTAAAAAAAAAAGACAAAGGAAATATTATACAGTACTACATCATAAACACAGAAACTAAGGTAGCACAGGTATAAAAAAAATGGTATTGTGACAGAAAAATCTTCAGCAAGCACCAGTGACTGATGTGTGATGCATATTACTGGTCACAAATATGAAAGAATCGGTATTCTAAATCAATCATTTTTTTCCCAGACTGTTAACTATTATACAATGTTACACTCACTTTCTCCAAAATTGTAGCATCAGTGTATATGACAGATCCTTCTTCATTGTACTTTTGGCAGTTGTGGAACATAAGCTTGAAGTCTCCAATGAGCTCCTCCTCACTGGAGTATCTGTCCCCCTTGATCTTGCCTTCGATGGTCTCCATATCTATAGGCTGAGTAATCACCTGTATGATAGTACTAAGGTAATTTTCCTCAATTCAATACACTAACTTGTTCAATAACAGGTTATATCTTTAATCTTTACAAGTTACTGCCAAAATGTCTTGGGTTACTGTTATTATCTTACCCATAATCTTGTAATGTTAAACTTGTAATGACCAAAGACCCTGCAGGAGACTTTTTGTTCAAAGAAGGAACCATAGGGTGACCTGTGGCCCATAACTGCTGCTAAGAAAATCTCAAAGCTTAATCTGGTTGGTTTGTTACCACTGCTTAGCTTGTCAAAATTTAATTTGGACAAAATTGTAGTAAATTATATACTGTACCACAAATATCTACAAATCAGTAATAATAAGATAATCTGATTACCAGCATATTTGCCATTACTTACTAAACCATTTTTAAACACATTAAATAATACATTCTTTCTATCTGACATAATATGCCCATATATATTATATATGGGCATTTCCCCAATAGATATATCCATATTTACAACCTATTCCACAAAAGTACAAGAGTACTGATTAAATACATTCTATGTCAGCTTAGTTTGACAATGCAATAGTTATAATCATGAATTTCATACACCCTCAGGTGATGAAATATAGCTTCAGAATTTCAATGTAATATCTTAACTACTTCTAATTGCAATCTTATTGAGTGAAAATGGAATTGTAGACATAAACAGAGACAAGGTAACTATTAGAGGGTTCCTGCATCTTTGGTGAGGAGCCTTAATAATTTAACCCTATGCCAAGTATGACCATAGGGGCTGTGGTGCACCCATTTTCAATATTCCCTCAGGACATCGGGTCTGAATTCTGAATACAGTATACAGGTATATATATATTAAAAAAATTCTTCCCATAGTGCAGGTATTTATTTTATGGCCTAAAGACTCAGTCATGCTCAGATAATCACTGGGGAATAATATCTTTCTATTCCGACAATAACCAACAACTGTTTATTCAGGTTAAATTATCCCACTGTTATCAAATTAATTGTGTCTATTAAAGACCCAGGATACTTCCTATAGCATCATGAGGTAACATGGAACTGGTGTATGTATATGAAGGGGGAATATCATGAATTTTTTTATGCATAAGCAGATGAATCAAAAGGTGGTTAGGTTAGGATTTTTGGAGGGGGGGGAACATACTGTGTATGTGTTCTAAGTGCAGGCTATCTAAATTTGCAATACTATCGGTGAAAATATCACACACCTTCAATTTGTGACCTTTGATTTTTTTTTATAATTTCTTTATCATTTGTGCTTTAGGTCAAGTGCTTACACAGAATTAACATAAAAAAATAATACTTTTTTTTTACCTTCAGGGGAAAACAATCATGACCTTCAGAGGGTGAGCCCAATCTAAATACTGTACAGCAGTCAGTGTACTGTACACAATTGATGACAAGCCACGACTGCAATGCTCTCAAGCATATCTGACTCCACAATTCAGATCAAACATTTGTGACTTTAATTATTCCAATCAAGAGCCTTAATCATTAATGAGAACAACTGTACCTCATAATAGTCTGGGTAATCCCTCTTGGCTGGTTTTTCAATAAAGGCAACAATAGGCTGGCGTCCATCGTCTGTCATGTAATCCATCAGGGTCTTAAACAGGATCTTTGCTCGACGTTTAAATGTCAGTGGTCTGGGAGGACGGCCCAGACGACGTCTGCTGTGAGACTGGGAGTCATCATCATCGCTGTAGCTGTCTGAGTCCTGGGAATTCAATTTTTTATTAGTATTTTCAGACAAGTGGAGGCAGAAATTTATTAGAAAATGTGGAATGAAGTCCCTGGTCTGAAGAAAACAATGGGAAGCTTCATAGGAAGAAATTATTCTAAAACACTGGATGTAAAAATTCTCAAAGCATTTCACCAAATAAATTTTTAAACATGAAACAATCACCAGGACAACACTTGTACAATGTCTGTGAATTAAAAGAAACAGACTGATTACACAGAAGACAGTTGAGATTGGGCTGGGATTAAGATCAAAGCACTTCTTCCTTCTGAACATGGAAAAATTAAAGAAAGAAAAATATAAAGTGTGACACTGAAGGTGAAAATAATTTGTATTTGTGGTTGCACTGCATATGGTTTCACTGATGTGAGGAAAGTCAACAATGATATACTGATGGTCTATACTTTCACCTAAAAATACCCAAAATGTCAATTAAATAGCATAAACAAACCACTGTTTGACTGCCGGAGGACAGCCCGAGTAACACATCCTCCATGAGCAACAGCTACAATATAGCACTGTCCTATTTTTAGCTAATTACACCTATGGTTGCTTGACTTACAACTGGTTTTTATAACTAAATATTATTCACTACATTAAAGTTTCATAATCTAATACTGCAGGTATGCAGAGTTCTTCCACAAATAGTAAAATTGTATTTTTGTATTGATTTACTATTCCTTGCAAATTCATGTGAAGTCCAAATCTAGTGTGTTAGTACTACAGTACTTTTATATCCATTCTAAATTTCTAATGGTTGTAAGACCAATAAATGTAAATTAATTTAAGAAATATTGCACCTACGATAAAACTATTTCTCTGTTTTTCAAGTTATTGGGAACAAGCTATGATTAACCCAAACATTACAGGGGCTAACTCCCTTTCCATAACCTCAAACCCATGTTTTCTGAGCACTTTCCTTCCATATCCAATCTGAAGTCACAAAGCCTAGAGCTGGCCATTCATGATTAATTCGAGTAATAACTTATTATATTTCTTACCTTTGTGACTGCAAAGTGTTAAAGAAGCAAAGTATATGCACTAATAATATACAGGATGTCCATGAAGTCATGTTCTGGCTTCAAATTTTATTACAACAAAAACAAAAAAAATAGAACTCTGCACTCTTGTGCATCTTGCTGCTTCAGTATTTAAGTTTTTTCTCAATTTACATTTTACAATCTGAGTGTCCAGATGTTAACGATAGCAGCTTGAATGAATGAAGATGATGACTACACAAGAGAAAGCTTAGTATGTCATCTGGTTTGCAGAATCAAGATCAGTGACAACTGTTCAATGGAATTATTGCCATCAATAGGGAAAAGAGCCCCCCTTCCAAACTTCGCATTAGGTGGTTTAACATGTTTCGAGAGACAGGAAGTGTGCCTGATTATCCTTGAAGTACACATCAAGATGTTTCTGAAGATACTGTTGCTAATGCCCAAGACACATTCCAATGCAGCCCTAGAAAGTTTATTCATCAGGCTTCAAGTGAACTGCAGCTACCAAGATTAGCACCTTCACCTGTATAAAGTGCAAATAGTCCATGAATTACAACCTAATAACAAGCCTTGGTGCTATGAGTTTGCCTGTTCCATTCTGAATACAGGGGGTCTGAAAACCAATGAGTTTCATGAACACATTCGTGATAGCCCAAGACAATGCTTTGTGTGGACTCACGAGCAGAACATCACAGGAGATGTGTATCTTCACGTGTTGGACAATTACATTGTCCCCCAGTTGAAAGAGTTGTTATCATTATTTTTCAGCCTCCACATTAGAGTTTGATTACCAGGTAAGTCAAGCTTCCTTGACGAGAACTTCCCAGCAGATGGATAGGATGTACTGTAATGGGCCCGTCTCCTGGCAACCCCATGGTCTTCAAATATTACACCCTTAGACTTCTTCTTGTGGGGGTATGTCAAGGATTATGTTCTCCACTCTCTAGCTGCTGACACTGAAACACTTCACGCATGGATAACCAGTGGCATCTGAAGAGTGACGAAGGATATGTTGGCCAACACATAGACTTAGTGGAGTATCGGTTGGATGTACTATGATCCACTAACTGTGCACATGTTGAGGTACACTGAGGAGCATATAAAAATAAATTTATTAAAGCAATAAAATGCAAAAAACTGCACAATGCTCCCTTTTGATTTTGTTGTACTAAAACTCTTACCCCCAAATAGGACTTTGTGGATGCCCTGTACATTAAGTTGTCAAAAATTTTTTGTGATTTTAATGAATGTTAATTAAGTTCAAAATAATGAAATTTCAGCAACAGGGTTGAGATATTTCTTACCTTATCTTCTCTTAACTCTGGATTTATGTACAGAATCCATCAACCAGCATAAACTGAAGCTCTGCATGTCACTCTGCCATCCAAGGTGCCTTATATAACAATAACCATTCAAAGGTTACAACTCTTACCTCTTCATCAATTGACATAATCTCTTCTGCTTTGTTCTGTATGTACTTCTGGAGTTTCACAGCATCACGATATATCCTGGAGTCTGGCCGGTTGTACTGTTGTGCATTGTCAAACATCAGGTTGAAGTCATCTAGCATTTCTGATATAAAGCGGTACTCCCCTTTCTGTAAAATATAAAAACACCAATAATAATAATAGATAAACCAATAATAATAATAATAATAATAATAATAATAATAATAATAATAATAATAATATACATTATCTCTCTCTCTCTCTGCACACACACAGTAGCCTTGGGAATGATAGTGGAATAAACTCAATAACTCAACAAGCTTATGAAGGATATGTTACATGGCTATAATGGACCTTGAACCCATAAATAATGGGTAAACCAACATAATGTTGTACATTTGCAATGCAAGATTTCCCTTAGTATTATCTTTAGAAAATTTGTCTCGTAAGTATTTATCAAACAGGTGATATTAACAAAACTGCACTTTAGTTTTCTTTTACCACAAAACAATTAAAAATGACATTACTAAACTTAACACAAAGTGAAAATTCACATAACAAATAATTACAGTATATTGTATAAGCAAAATAGAGTGAACAATAAAACTGACTTTATTTATATCTTATTTCTATTGGAATTTTTTTTTAAATACAGTGGGGTATGCTATAACGAATGGATCCTACTATGAATATTCCTATAAAGAACGGTTTTACCTATAAAATTGATAATGCTATAACGAACGAAACTCGTACAACGAACATTATAATTTTTTTTTTTTTTACTAATTTATTGTTTCTGTATTACAAGTATTAATGATATTCTTTATTTCAAGGGTTTAGATGCATATTTATGCACTTTGTTACAATTTTTACAATTTAATATTATATTTTTCAGTGTTAAGTGGTTGTATTTGGGGGCCTGGAACGGATTAATCCTATAACGAACGAATGCTATAACGAACAAGGTTCTAGAACCAATTAGATTCGTTATAGCATACCCCACTGTATGATGTTGATGCAAATTATGCTATTAAGGGAAGTGTTGACAAATATAAGACAACCCCAATTCTAAGCCGAAGGGTAAGTTTTGGACAGAACTTAGGTAGAAAAGCTTGGTCTTTGATTCTAAGCCATAAGTTGGAGGGGTTCAATATAATTCACATTCAAAATTGTTTAAAACACAAGAGAGACTTACATACTGGGTATACATTATTGAGTACCTGTGGTGAAAAGCATAAAACTACATAACAATAGGAGCAGATGTGGCAACAGTGCCAGTGAGCGAAAAGGTACTGACACTAACGATGTAACAAAAGAAATATGTCATCACGAATGTTGGTGAATGCTTCAGTTTTGCCTGGGGATATGCTGAGAATTCTTTGGGAAAGCTGACTGAATGATAAAGCATTGTAAAAGTTGTGAACAATATAAAGAGTATACAGTACAGTACACAAATACATTCTCCCTTTATTCATTACCATTCATTCACTCTAACTCCTATTACAGAGCTGTCTTACTATGGTTCTATATTTTCATTAAGTACATGTACCTTAGAAACTAAAGATTACATACCACAATTTTCTTCCTGATCTGTGACATAGAGATGGGGTTCTTGATTTCTATGTAGTAATCAGCATGCCATCGTCTATTGGGGAGGCGTTTGAAAGGCTCGACAAGTTGGTAATTGGAATCTACAATAAAAGATATTAATTTTTGTTGGTGATATCCATTTACATCTGCAAAGAAAAGTACAATACTGTACACATACTGGGAAGGAAATATGGGTACAAGTGAGTACACACTACATACAGTACCTAGTTCCTATTTATTTACATGCCTATACATAAATAAAAATAGGGGTTGATCCTGAAATCCTATTCTATGCCTGAGCCTGACTTGCACACCCAGATTCCCAGGATCCAAACATGTGCCTGTAACTAATCCGAAAGGTCGTTATAATGTCCTGTAATCAGACTATCTTCAAGACAGACAACTCAGAAGATTCCTTGTTTTGGCAGTATAATAGGCTCTTTTCTGCTATATGGCAAAGGAGTCAGACCAGGAGCTAACACTCTTTTTACATGTAGTCATCTATTCACAAGGCATTAATACTGTATCCCCATTAACCACTCAATGCCACTCTCCAATTATACACACACTGCACTCTCCATCCCAGATATTCATTCCCCATCCTTCACCCTAATTTTCCATCTTCTTGGTTTCATTCTCCTGCCATCCTGCTCTAAATTCTACTACCGTATTAAAAATTTTCACTTACCTTCCTCTCAATAAATCAATAATAACTCAGCAAAGCCTAACACACCCTCTATCCAACACTTCTTTCATTTCTACAGCTTCAAATTTCTGTATTTGTGATAATCTGAATCCCATTCACCTTACAAACTGCTCTCAAGCATACCATTTTTATTTCTATTATATTCCTTCCTTGCATCCACAACCTATTCTTCAGGTTTAAAAATTCCCATGTAAATCACCATCAATGTTTTATAGAAATTTTTTACACTTCACAGGTTATCTGCAATTACCTGATGGCAGCTGTTGGGTAAATTCAGCACAGCATATCTCTACCCATTCACCACCACAAACATTTACTTACTTCAGTCTATTTTCTCCCTACATCCCTTCTCTATTTATTTTCATCACTTTAATTTTTCACACCAACATACAGCACAGTACTTCCTTTCTAATACAATATTTCAAGATTTTTCTAACTTAACCCTCTCAGCCTAGCGTAAAAGGAGAAAAAACTTATGCTCAGCCTCACGATGCCATTAGAATATATTTTCAAATAACTAAAAAATTATTCAGTGAAACTGACTGAACTTTGAACGCCATTTGACAGACGTCATTTTCTTTGTGTGGGCCTTATCACCTTCCCTGAGATGGTCTCGGTCATCGTGCGCATGGCAGCGCAACATGAAGCCAGTGTCGCTCGGGCCATTAGAGCGAGAGGAGGGTGCGCCTCTCGGCCCTTTAATTATTCCATGAGATTTTGTGTTATGTTATTTTTCCTTATAAAGCGGTCCCTCGATTATCGAACAGTTCAATTAACGAAATTTCGGTTAACGAATTAGCTCCCATTAGGATTTTCAGTTCGATTAACGAAATCCTTACGACAAACACGCTTTGTTGTGCACATCAGCTGATCGGCTAGTCCGCCAATACAGTAATCGGTTCTTTGTTCACATTCGTTTCCAGTGGAGTAAATATCAAGAAAGTTGTGCTCTTGAATATTTCTGCATTTTGTATAGTAAAATTATTGGTCATTCTGAAATTTAGTTAACATATTGATAATATATACAGTACAGGGAACAATATTTGTGTGCCCATCAGCTGATTGAATCACCCAACAATGCTTCTCAGTATAACTGTTTCCAGTGGAGTAAATATCAAGAAAGTTGTGCTCTTGAATATTTCTGCATTTTGTATAGTAAAATTATTGGTCATTCTGCAAAAATTATTATGAAACAAGAAGAAGGCATTAGAACCAATGCACTCTGTAAAGAATATGGCATGTTATCATCGACTGCCTCTACAATCAGATGTTTGATATGTAAACAAAGCCGAATACGACATACACACCTCAAAGTAAGTTAAAATATAGTACTAAACTGTATTCTATTTTTTTTTATTTATTATTGTACAGTACAGGTAGTTCTGCTATAACGCGATAATTGTGTTCTTGTAAAATATCGTGTTATAGAAAATCTGTAATAGAAATAACAGGGCTTATGGACAAAATAGGGTTAGGTGCAGATTACTCGAAATCGAAAAAATTTAGTGAAGTTAGCCTAACACAAAGGATAGCATGTCTAAATAAATGTTACATTCATATCTAATAATGAAATCAAAGGAAAATTTAACACTTTACCTTGAAAATATGAATGTAACTTGATGGGGGAGAAGGGTGATTTTGAGGTTGATAACATCGAGCTTCTTCAAGTGTTATAGCCTTTCTTTACGATCATCACCGGAATGCATCACCAGAATGTTTTGAGATATTCTTCTTACCATATTCACAGTTAATACCACAAAATTGGAGAAATAGTAAGCAAAATCGTTATAGCAAAACAAGCGATCAAGTTATACAAATATTGTTCCAATTCATAAATCGTTAGAGCAAATTCGTTATCAAAACACGCGCTATAGCAGAACTCACTGTACTGTATTTAGTTGTATTTAATGTTTTGTTAATTATATTACTGGTATACAGTACTTTGTATGTATACTTTTTCTGTGAGTTGGAGCCAATTACCCAATACTGTATCCCATTGAATAATAGATTCAGTAAACGAAATTTTCGGTTAACAACCGACTCTCGTGAACCAATTGTATTTGTTAGTCAAGGGACCACTGTACCACGATATTCTACATGCTTTGTTCTTTATTTTGGTATACTGATATCACGGCCTATAAGACGAAATTTGAACATTAAAAAATCTGCCCAGTTAGGGTCGCTCTAAACCACCAAGTTTAAAATTCTACCTCTTAAAATATTATGGTTTAGTGTGTCAAGAGTGGTGATGAAAACATCGTAAGCCACTCCACAAGGTCTTACCACTAATTATTTTAATACTGAAACTTACGCTTAAGCTGGATTCAAATTAAGATTACCGTATATTAAAATAATAAAAAATGTATTATAAACCTGTCTAACATACCAGAAAGAGATTTATACCCCTGTAATAAACACAGCTATCATAACACACCCTCCCCACGCCCCCCATTTGCCAGTGAGGAGACAAGAAAGAAAAAGTGACCACGGTTAATTACAGACGCTCAAGTGATCACTAGTGTTTACACTACACCAGCTGGTAATATTTGATGCCATTACTTGAAGTGAATTGGCCTTATTTTAAGTAACTAACTATAAATAAATACAAAATTAAAAAAAAGATCAAAACTGAGAAATAATATACTGTATGTATGTTGTGTTGTCAAAGTAAGAGGAACAATTGTAAGTACGTATATTTTTTCACCAAATCCTAATGAAACACATTACTGGAGAACATTCCTTTGTCGCAAAACAGTTTATAAATTAAAGAAAATAATTACAGTGTGTTTAATATATTACAGTATATTATAAATAAATAAATAAAACAAATAATTGGTAAATTTATTAAAGTAAATGGAAATAAGCAAACATGTTATTTACCAAGACCCTTCCGTCTGGCTCAGGGTGAGATGTAGGGAGATAAAGAAGGCTATTTATAGCCCATCAGAAGTGGCTAGTACCTATGCACCATAAATAATTCATTGAACATTCATTTTTGTACATAGTATATTCAGTATATATATATATATATATATATATATATATATATATATATATATATATATATATATATATATATATATATATATATATATATATATATATATATATATATATATATATATATATATATATATATATATATATATATATATATATATATATATATATATATATATATATATATATATTTGTGTAATAAATGTATGTAGTAAGTACATACTGGTAACCTTTTTCACTCAAATCCTAATGAAACACCACAATTAGAATACGGTGGTTGCTGTTGAACCACCTGTTGTATAAATAGTCACACCACCGAGACGAGGGAACACTCCCAACACGCTTCAGTGACGTCACTAGTGTTTACACTGCACCAGCGGGTATAATTTGATGACATTACTTGAAGTGAATTGGCCTTATTTTAAAAAATCAAGGATGGTTGGTAAAGGACTACTGAGTCAGTGGGTAAGTGTCACATTTGGGGTACTGGTCTTATACAGCAAATAGAGCTCAAAAGCTACTTTTTAAATGGAAATTTGGGGGGGGGCGTCTATAATTCATTTTTATATCAAAATATACGGTATATAGTACATGTCAATGAACACCATAATACAAGGAAAATGTGAATGGAAATCGAGACGTTACTAAACATTTTCCTACTTTTTCAACTTATACTCGAAAAAATTGGCTTAAATTTAAAGAATTTTAAATTTTTATGGTTTCATACAATTTTTCAGGCAATTTTACGCTAGAAGAGACCCCATTACAATTAATAAAACAATTTCATGACAGTGAAATGAGCCTAAGAAAAAAAAAATCAAAGATTTTTCGGCAAAAACCTCCGAGGCTGAGTGTAAGTTTTCATGCACGCTGTGTGTCTCAGGCTCCGAGGCCGAGAGGGTTAATAGCAAGTGACCAGAATGAATAGTATTCAGACTTTTAATAGTTTGGGGGGGGGGCCAAAATCTAACATCAACTCCAACATATAGATAGCACATGACACCCACCATTGGGAGCTGAGAGATTCTTGGCAGCTAGGAAGAGCTGCCACTGAGGGTTGTCCGGGTCCACATCCTCATCACTTTCCTCATCATCATGTGTAGTTCCGAGGGGCATCTCCGTCCCCCCGCTGTCCTCCTCAGGCAGTGGCAACTCCATCCCTTCCTCCAGCTCTGCCATCAACACTGACCACTGCTTGTTGTTGACACTTCTTTTACTTCTGCAACATATAAATTAACATCTTAGAGAGTAAGCAGGAAATATGAACATACAGTACAGCAATAATTTTATAACTTTATTTTCATATATACAGTATTGTACTGTACTGTACATTTCTCTTTAGCTGCAATTTAATCACTATTCTTTCCATTTTCTTTGTGCTAAATTCGAAAATGAATTTGTGTACAGTATGTGCAAGGGTGTAAGTGTGAACTGTTTGATGTGGTCTTCACCTAAATCATTCAGCTATCCAGTGTACTGTATAGCAGGTAAGAATCTGACAAACTGTGATTGGTACATCACTGAATTACAATATAAGACAACAATTCACTACCAGATTCAACCAAAAAAAGAATTGTGATCAAATGTGTAAATTGAGGATGAATGTTCTCTCTTGAAAGTTACCTGAGTCGAACACTCTTCTTAGCATTGAGAATCTGAAGCAGGTCACCTTTACGTAGCTGGGCCAGTTTCTTAAGGGTACGAGCATCCTTGAAAATGCGGGAGCCAGGCTCGTTGAAGGCACATGCATTGTTGAACAGAAGAACAAAATCATCCTCAACATCATCAACATTTTTGTATTGTTTTGCTACAATGCGTTGTGCGATGGTTTTTAGGTCAATTGGGTGGTCAATCAGCTGGTAGTAATCTGGGTATTTCTGAAAAATATGTTTAGAATATCAAGAAAAATACAATGTTAAGTGACAATGTTTAGCTTAAGAATATCTCACTATTCTTCCCATTATTTTCACCCTTACCTAACTATAATGCAGAGCAGTAATTTTAACCGCACATAACTTCATAGAATCTTTACATTGTTATAGATAGCACTTCCAAGCAGTAGTGCCAGACTTACTTTACCAACTGTTAGATACAAGACATACAAAAACTCACAGCCCTTGAGGGTAGAAACCGGAAGTCATAAGAATAAAGACGACCTTCAGGGTCCATGGCAGTCATGACAGCCCCAAAGAGTTCTTCTACAGCATCTTCCATTGTCATAGGTACACCATCCTCTTCTAAGATCATAGGTGCTGACATTGCCAATGCTGTCTTGGGTGGTCGTCCACGCTGCAACAGAAGGGGGCCAATATCAAAATCTTGCCTTTTTTCATTCATGAATTCTCTAATTCCTGTAACACAGGAGTTCTGCTATGATGTTACCCTTCTACAAGGCCTAGCAATATCAACGAGGTTAATCCATGTGTTTTCCTACCCATCCAATAACACACCTTGATGCTATGTTGTCCACACAATCAAATGCAAATTTGCTTCCTAGATGTCCATCTCCTCACTTTTAGCACTCTTGATCTTATGATTTCATCTCCTTGGATTTCTCCTCTCCCTCCTTTATCACTTATATTGTATACAGTACAGTATCTATATACAATATCATTTATGATTTTTTTTTGTATATTTTATTCATCTATATTGATGGTTTATAAACTTTTTTACATTGGTTAGTTCTACAATATTCTTCCTCCCTCCCTTCATTCAGTCTACTCATACCTGCACCCCCTGAAGTTTTATAACTCAGTTTCCCCCTTTAAGTGGACCCCTAAATGTTATAACCAGTAAGTGTTCAGATGACTATTCTTTATAAACCAATCACTAGAGCTCCCAAGCTTAAAAGATACTGTACATCAAAAGGTGTAAAATACAGTATAGAGGTAACTATTATACCCTCTTGCCATGGCGTTCCTCCTCCTCCAGTTGCTGTTGCCTAATTTTTTCCTTATTGATCTCCTCTGGTGCTCGGTCCTTGGCCACCATGAAGATGGCCCACAACTCACAGGCATCTTTGTACTCCTCTGTTGACTGAGAACAATGACATTTATGTTAATCATTTAACCTACTTGAAAAGTGCAGATTAAACTAAAAATAGGGATTCTGGTAGACAAATACAGTGGTGATCCATTATCTAGACCAGTGGTTCTTAACCGTGTTAGGGTCGCTCTCCCTATAGCAGCTGGTCCTCATATCCATGCCCCCCATCCTTCCTTCATATAAAATTCTAAATCTAAAAATTCTAAAACAGTTTCCTCTTGAATTAAATAGGAAAATTGAGAAACTAGTTTTTCATTTGTTACTTTAATTATTTTTCAGTTGGCAAATTTCATTCCCGTTATAAAAACGAAATAATTAGTATTCTTTTCAATTGATATAAGTAATTATCATTATTGTTTCGTTCATAAAAAGTCTACGCTACAACATACCTCAATTGAAGAAAAGAAATGCGTGAGTGTGAGAGGTAGAAAGTTGTCACAGGCGACTGGCACTTGAAACCGTCGCAGTCAGTGTTGACAAATTTTCAAATTGTGAATTATCAGATATCTCTACATTTTGATTGACGTAGTTACCATTTACGACATTTTGAAATACAGTGGTCCCTCGGTTAATGAAATTTCGGTTAACGAATTAGCTCCCAAAGGATTTTCAGTTCGATTAACGACAACCTTACGAGAAACACTCTTTGTTGTGCACATCAGCTGATCGGCCAGTTCGCCAATACAGTAATCGGTTCTTTGTTTACATTCGTTTCCAGTGGAGTAAATATCAAGAAAGTTGTGCTCTTGAATATTTCTGCATTTTGTATAGTAAAATTATTGGTCATTCTGAAATTTAGTTAACATATTGATAACATATACAGTACAGGTAACAGTTTTTGTGCGCCAATCAGCTGATCGAATCACCCAACAACGCTTCTCAGTTTAACTTTGTTTACAGAGGAGTGAACATCAAGTTTGTTAGGCTCTTGAATATTTTTGCATTTTTACATTAAAATTATTGGTCATTCTGAAAATTTTTTAACATATTGATAATATACAGTGCAAAAATCATTCTGAAACATGAAGAAGGCATTAGAACCAATGCACTCTGTAAAAAATATGGCATGTCATCATCGACTGCCTCTACAATCAGCTGTTTGATATGTAAACAAAGCTGCCGGGAATACGACATACACACCTCAAAGAAAGTTAAAATATAGTATTCTATTGTTTTTTATTTATTATTGTACAGTATACTGTACAGTGCAGTACTGTATTTAGTGTATATTTAACGTTTTGTTAATTCTATTACTGGTATACAGTACTTTGTATGTATACCTTTTCTGTGAGTTGGAACCAATTACCCAATATCCCATTGAATAATAGATACAGTTAACGAAATTTTTCGTTAACGAACGACTCTGTGGAACCAATTGTATTTGTTAACCGAGGGACCACTGTATCTGTGGTGATCGAGGACCCCCCCCACCCCGCAAATCCAAATAAGGACATACACACACACCTGTTAAGGCCATTCCTTATTTTTGCTCTGGGTCCCCCCCACGGAAATTATCTAGCCCCCCCCCCTCCCTGGTTAAGAACAGCTGATCTAGACCTTTGACCTACAACCTGTCAATTATGTAAAGACACCAAGCCTGGCACCAGTTACTAATACAGTACTATGATGTAATCATTTACAGATTTTATAAATAAAGTTTTTTCATTAAGCACTTTTGTGTTCTTGAATTAGTTATGATAAATTAAAAGAAAACAATCCTTTTGCCAAAGCACATTTACAACTATCTGTTCCATGTATTACTAGTACATAATATGAAATGTGATGAGTTGCAACAGCCGCAGGAAATTATCATGACCCCAGGTACACTGTGCTATGATTCCAAAGATCTAATTCCTTAGTGTCACGAGTCAAAGCTTTGGACAGTCAATAGAAATACTGGTTATAATAAACTAAGATGAACATTTCCATAACATTAACACACTAAATACCCACTCAATATAATTACCCAAAAAACATAGCACAACACAACAGTCATGTCTCATTAACAATGTAACTTCTAAACTCTCACAATACCTTGGCATAGTAAAGCTTTGCATTGTCCACCAACAACTGCACATCTTTGCAGAATTCCTCCAACTCATTATAAACATCTGTTTTAATCTTCTGCTGGATTTTGAGCATATCAATTGGTATTTTAATCATGTCATAGTACTGAGGTTCTGTTTTCTTTCGTGGCACACGTAGGAATGCTTCACACAGGTAGGTGTCATCATCCTTCTTCTTGTTCCTCAATGCATCAAATATATATTGTATGGTGTCGACCTGCAAATAATCGTCCAACAATCAAACATGATAAACAAGGCTTGTACATATTACAACCTTATTCAGTAAATATATGTGAACCTTCTCTTTATCACGCCTGTACATCTCCACAGGCATAAAATGTCAACCCCAACAATGCCTGTACCAAGATGAATGTCTAGCACTTCACTTTTTAACAACTTGGCTATAATGTACTGAACAATGAATACTAAATTTAAACGAAAAAAATTTGTCCAACAAACATACATAATCACTCACAAGAGTTGTGTCATTTCTCCGCCTTTTTGGTCGTCCCTCCACAACAGGAGTAGACATTACACCTCCCCCCTCATCTCCTTCTTGTCTCTTGCGCTTGGGCATGCCCACCCTGTAAGAGTAAAATAGCTTAGAAAATATTCAAGTTCTAAAGTACAATACATATGTCTACATCCACTGTACTGCATCCTATTACAGGTACACAGCTGGAGGACCATGGAAATCAGTTCAACAACACCAATTACAGCCTTTCCCTTTTCACTCTTCCATATTTATTCATTCTACCCTGTATTGTACTTGTTGTATTTGGGTCCAATACCAGACGAGATGCCACCACTAATTCTCAAAAAGTGTTCTCAAGATATTCTCCTGTTCTGTCGAAGCTCTTCTGACCATTTCTTCTGTTCTTTACAAACTCTTTTTACTTAAGCCTCCACCTCTTCATGGAAAGATATTAGTAATCCCCCAACCCTAAGGAAAGATGATAAATCTGACCATTCAAATCATAGCCCAATTTCTCTCAACTCAACAACAGCAATTATTTTTTTACGTGGCAATCAATGCCCATTCTTCTTCAAAATAATTTGCTCAATGAACAATGGCAATGGATTTCATAGAGGATGCTCTACTACCTGTACTAATCTTCACACATTCAACCCACCAATCAATAGACTATGGTGGTGAGGTCTTGACATTTCCAAAGCATGTGAAAGAGTTTTCCACTAATCTTTCTTTTCAAAACTACCCTCCCATGGCCTTTCTTCTTAATTATATACCTTGAATTTCTTCTCTTTTTCCTGACAACAAAATGCACATAGTTCTGTTTGGTCTTTTCTCACCCCATTAACTGCAGAGTTCCTCAAGGTCCCATACTATGTAGCACCAACCCTCTTCTTGGTACATATCAATGATCTTTCAGCAATTTATAACTATCTTCATTTCTATGCATATGATGCTACCTTCAAGTAGTCCTTCATTCTGACTGTCCTCATCTCATGATATAAAATTTTTAACAAGAATACTGTATGGACATCCTACAGGTAAACCAAACATGTATAGTCAAGTGGGGTACATTCAACTTGGTGTCATTCAATGCTACTACAAGTACAAGAAAGTACATAGCTCACAACATTCAGAAACAAGCATGATATTGAACAATTCAACATAAATTTTAATGTTATTATTCCATCAACAGAAAACATAGATTTTAGGCTCAGCCATTACTTAAAGACTTACCACGACAAACTTCATCAGAAATTTAGCCCAAATTACTTCAATGAAGCTTGGACTCATGTTCTGATTCAAGCCCTACATTATGGATGAATATCATAATTGGCAACCATTTATTTTAAGTTACGTGCACTCCCAAATGGAATACTGCAATCATCTGTGAGGTGGGTGTGGTGTTGGGGTACCTTATCTGACCAGAAAATCCCATTGTTGCACATTCCTAAGGGTATCTCTTCACTTTCCCTACTCTGTATCCTACTGCATATACTACCACAGACTGTATTCTGACAAATTAATCTCAATATTATCACCACCACACACACACCCTTAATACACCTAAAAGGGCAGACGATTTTCAATTGAAATTCCATTTTACGGAACCTCTACCTAACAAAGTCATTTATACCCCAAAGTAACACTCAATGTAACCCTCTTCCACAAGATTGTTTTTCCTATGCCAAGCAACTTCCATCATTCTAAATTATAATTTTTCAATTATCATCAGTTTTTAGTTAGGGGACACCTCAATGCATGGATTAGACAGTGACAAGTGTATGATCTCTCCCTGTACTATTATTTATTAATACATAAAAATTGTGGAGGATCCATCCTGAAATAGTATTTTTAGGTCTGTCCATGGCAAAGTGACAAGTAAATATAGAAGCCATTTTGAGAGGTCTAGGACAGTAGACTATCCCCCATCAAGCAGTTTAGGTCTGATCTTATGAATGCACATCTTTCCCCATCATAATCTTCCTCAAAAGGGTGGAATGGCAGCAAAGGTTGGTCTCTAGAGGCTAGAGGTCTAGAAAGTCAGCCATGTCTCCCAAGCCAGTAGCTACACTCATTATACAGTAGCTACCATTTTGGGTTTAGTTTCCTAGTGACAACCTGGTTCAGTACAGTATAGCCAAGGGCCAGTACAATATCTCCAAAGTGGAAATTTTCTCTAATCCTAACCCAGCAAGGAACCAGAACACTTTAAATCATCTTAGAAGCCCAAGGCCAGACTCTGTAACTATGTGTAACAAAACTCTCTTAAAATACTGTAGGTTGAAATACAGCATGGTGAAGCAAGCGCACAGTGTAGAGCAATGACCCCATTGCCAACTATCCACAACTGGGTAATGGAATATGTAAACAAACCCTAATTAAACTACAATTGTATGAAAAACAAAACACCAGTCTTACTTTAAAAATACATGTACAGTAGCTAAAACAACTATCTGTGCATACTTTATGGGAAACAATATGAGAAAATGGACGATAAATTCGGGTATATGATGGCTGTCACAAGTCACACATAAAATTTCGGAGCATATCGACCCCCACCTGCACAGATAGTTGTTTTAGCTACTGTACAGCAATACCTTTAAGTTACAGTAATCTTCAATACTCATTTATTTTAAAAAGTGACACAATATGATACAGTAACTATTTTTATGTTCACTGTGGATGCACCATATTATATACTATACTGTACGATCCAAACTGTATGAGCCTCTTGCCAATGGTCTTTGAGCAGAAAATACAAGTACTATAGTACTGTACTGCTCCAGTGGCAATCCACACATTATATACAGTATTATATGGTAAAGTCCACTTTTCCCAAACTGATTAGTTTAAGACATTGTTACAAAAGCATGCATGAAATCTACGGCCACTCTTCCCAAAGCATCGTAATACCTGAACTACTTGTATTATCTCACTATAATGGACACATATAATGTTGATGCTCTCTAAGGTGAAGAGTGATGTGCTATTTGCTGAGCTTCAAGGAGCAATGGAGGAAATGCGGAAAGATGAAGAAACAAGTGACAGAGTATCCAGTGAGGACAACGCTGATCCCAGTACAAAATACATGAGTGACGGACATTGAGGAGGCTATGTCATTCACACCAACAAAATTTAATTTTTTATATTAATTCTGGCTTGAATGATGGATACAGAGAATCAAGAAGTCTTTAACTTCTTGATATTGTACTGCATTTTGGTGACAAAAGATCAACTCTCATTGGAGGCATATGTCTGTCCAGTCTTTAGAACTTATGAAGCACCACCACCTCCTGCTACCATAATTATTGTTGGCTTGTAATTAAGAGCCATTTGATTTAAAGAAAAAAGCCAAAAATAAAGGATTAATCTTAAAATCCTGTTTCCTGGCAGAGTCCATAGCCAGTTGGCTTGTAAATTCTCTCTCCTTCGTTGGGTCTGTGGTTAGTCATCTGGAAATGAATTAGAGTACAGTACCTGTACAGCAGACTGTTGTGGATTCAGAGGTAAACATTAGTTGACTTGACAGATACCTACAGCTCTAATAAATTCTCCACCTTCTAAGGGCCAACCACAGCACCAAGTTCTCTCATTTGAGGCTGACAGTGTAATGGAGAGGGAAAGATGACTGGGAAATCCAAAATGAACTAACCTTTGTAGTGCTTTAATCACTCTACAGCAATTTACAATAGTAAGGCTGATACCGGGTAAGCATTATAATCGTTCTAGGATGACATTAATTTTCCTACCTAATTTTGACTTATCTTGTCCTGTCAAAGCCAATTAAATTCTTTTATTCATACCATGTGTTCCAGGGGCCCTACCTACTCCTCAGTTGTAACTCAGGCATGATGGAGGACAGAAAGGCATCAATATAATAACAAATGATAAGTGGCTTGTAAACATTAGACCTGGTCAAGGTAGGTGCTCTCTCTCTCTCTTTTTGGCATGCTTACCTATTATTCTAAAGTGAGTTTTATTAATTTTTCAAACTTTTTTTGTATAGCACATCATCACATGTTATATCACAATGGCACTATCGAGATTAACAGATCAACCATAGCTGACACTATGGGGGATTTGTAGGAAAATATAATACTGTACTGTACACCCCAGTAAGCAAATACAGCACAGTATATAGCTACCGGCGGTACTGTAGCTACAGTACATTGATAAAAACTTGAAAAAGTCCATATTGTACTGTATGTATTAACACATATGCACAAACACACACATTCCAAAAATGTGCACTTGAACCTAACACTGTACTGTACGTACTGTACAGTATAGTAAAAGAAAATAAAATAAATTACAAAACACATGCCACTACAAATCTCCTAGTTACAATATTCTCTTTAAAGCACAAGCTACTGATCTTGTTACATATACTGAAACATTAAAACATTTAATCTCGATTTGGTGCACTACTTATGACAACAAGTGTCATTTAGTTTAAAAGTAATCTACTGCATTATTTAACTACTTACATGTCAATGAGCTAAAATTTATAACTCAAGAAGTCCTACTTGTTTCCTGGCTGGGATGACATCTGAAAGCCAAGGCAAGACAGAGTCAAATTGGTGGCCCCACCAAATACCTGAATGGAACATTGGCAATTCTTGCAACAAAGTGGAATAATAAGCTTTCTACTTCCCAAAGGCTAACATCATCCTCAACTACTAAGCCATGAACCAATTATGTTCCTACAAATGCAAATAAACCATTAATAATCCATATTTCCAGACTTTCCAGAGACTAAAATAAAACCCCATAGCTATTGCCAATTTCTAAACAGCTGCAGTAGCCCCCCGATTGCATACGAGTTTTGTTAAATATGAAAAACAAATACATTGCCATAAGGTTAATATACATACCGTACATTAACAGAACAATATTAAGAGTTAACCTGTATACACCCACTAAGTGTAAAGTATGGTAAGTGAAGTGGTTGCAGTAAGTATGACTTGGGGTAAAAAATATATAAATCACCTTTTAAAACTGACAAAATGAACAAGCCAAACCTACTGGTCTTAAAATATATTTGAGAAAAGGTTGGGTCGGTTTGTTTTGCCAATCTTAAAGGGTACATGTATATTGTATATACCGGTACAGTAGGTACAGCCACCACGATGGAACAAGACATTGATAGTGGTCTCCATAATTATCTACTTGGAATTCTTACATGGCAAAGAAACACTCCATAAAAGGAAAATTTTCTAGATTACAAGCACCTCTTTATCCCTCAAAATTTCACTTTGCCTTTAAGAGAAGTCAACATCAACAAGATTACAAAAAATCTAAGCTTCAAGGTCACTGCATTGTCCAAAGAGGCTATTTGCACTGTGCTGCCAAAATGTGGGAAAAATATACCAGTACACATCAGGTAATATTTATACACCACTGCTGATATATGGAACACTTTACCAATATCAGTACCTGTACTGCAGTAGTAACAGTAATAACAATGCTGGTATTATTTGATGCTAGATTTAATATAAAACAAGGCAGGTGGATCAGTCATTTTATTACAACCATATAGAAAACAAGTTTATATTGTTATGACCACAATTTAAGTCACTAGAAATTCCTACAGGATCTTCAGATCTCAAGTTAGATGATGATCTATGAGCACCTGTGGGTGATGTTCCAGTAACAGTGGAGGAAACAGTTAGCAGTAAAAATTACCTATAGAATTTGTCCATATTTTCCACAGGTGTTGTTTGGAAAATAGTAAGTGCTGTATTATTAAATGACAGGACAAATTTTTCCTTTAAATTTTTTCTTCTCTATCTTCAATCATAAAGCACCAGTACCTGGGAAGGGCATGAAAGAAGAGGGAAATTACTGATCATATGACAGTAATTTCATGTTTCTACATGCTTTGTAGACAAACAAATTTTTCTTTTACTGTAAATGTACTGTACTGTATTCTGCATAGGGAATTCGCCCGTGATGCCACTTGTTGTCGTCCGCTCTTAAACTAAAATTTTTTTAATCCAGTCTTTGTAAATATTTACAAGTACAGTAATGACAGGGCCTCTCATTGGAGGTTTTATTACCATAAATAATGGCTTAGGTGTCGTCTGTTTTAAATTTTATAGGCTTCACTTTTCTGGTTTTCTTGTTTTTGACCTTTTTCGTTTTTGCACATGTGATTTTTTTAACCTATTCCACAGTATGAATAAAGGATGAAATTCATATATAGTACAGTACTGTAGTTGGACTCAAATCCCACATTATGGGTTTGGATACATTTACATTTTCTTTGGAGTAGTACTGTACAGTGTTGGAGTATAAGTGAACTGTACAATATGTTCCTTTACTTATGGTTCTTCCCTAAGCTGGCCATCTTACTTTTCAATGGCATTGTTATCGTGTCGTGTTCGGTATTGTATCACAAGTTATCTGTGCAGGTGGAGGATGAAGAATGTCTTCAAGAGTTCATCAGTCAACATGGATTAGATGGGTAGATGTTCAAAATGTAGCAGGGTTGACAGTGAACAAAAAATATATGATTTAGTGCAAAAACCGATCATACGCTTACATCCACAAAAGGGTATTATTTTTACTTTTGGACAACATGGGAATCTTTGGAATTTTTTCTTTACAATACAGTATAAGTAGTTTTGACAATTCTAAAACACTTTTCTTCGATGACGTTTCCCTCACAAATGCCATACATATGTAGGGGGGGGGGGCAGAGCTCCCCCATTAGGAGTTAGGTTAGGTCAATTGGAAGGGAGATGCCATAGAAAAAAGTGTCTTAGAATTGTCTAAACTATTGATTGCAAAGATAAAATTCCTAAGATTACCCATGTTGTCCAAAAGTAAAAATTTACCCACAAAAGACGTAAAATTACACAATGCCATTTTCATTGGTATTGTATAAAATATAAAATTATATATATAAAAGAAAAAAGATCACCTCTTCCACATATGTACAGTCTCGTTCAAGATTCTTCGAACACTGCTGGAGACAGCTGGCAACTCAAGGCCATTTGTTTACTATAGTACGTAGTATATTATAATACGAAACAACAAAGCCCAACCATTAAATTAAGCAACGGGGCACGAAGTAACCGATCACTTTTACATTCATTCATAATTTTTACTACATACTACAGTAAACAAACGGCCAGCTGTCTCCAGCAGTGTTCGAAGAATCTTGAACGAGAGTGTACATTAATATATTAAAAGATAGAATGACAAGATAAATCATAACAAATCATTTCCCCTCCTTATAATCTAAGCCGCTTTTTACCATTGTAATTTTATCATTCATGCAAAAATGTGTAAACTTTTACTTTTCAGTCCGAGTCCGTTAACCTAACTGGTCCGAGTTGGTTATCCGAGATGATCCGAGTTGGTATTTGATGGTCCAAGTTAGATGTGGGTCGAGTTGGCAATGGGCCGAGTTGGATTGTAACCCATTTTTCCCAAAACCAAGATATCAAGAGTTGAAAGTCAGAAAACTAGAGAAATTCTAAGAGGTGACAAGAAATGGCTTTTTTTTTATAAGAAGTGCAGACAAAAACCATACGATGCTCTTCTAACACTTTTCTCGCATTTTACCCATAACTGAAATAATACGTGGTTGACCGCACAAACCAAAGGTTCGTTTGTGAGGGAAACGCCATAGAAGTGTCTTAGAATTGTCTTAACTATTGTTTGCAAAGAAAAAATCACGAGATTCGGTTGGTTTTCTTTTTTTTTGAACGCCTGATACCTCGGTTGAGAGTAATATGTGCCAAAAGTGTCATAAAGTAAAATTGCCTTTTTTTTTGTCTGAAGTTATCATTAGAAAAAAACAATTGAATTTTATGTCCTCTACTATAAATTAACTGGTTAGTTGGGTTAAGTCCTGTGCATTGTTATTTCTTGGTAAATATTCGTTTAGTGGCCGTGGTTCCTTTTTGTTATGAGAATAAGTTGTAATCTAACCTAACCTCATATCTGTTAATACTAATTTGCCCAAGGAAAGATATATAGTCGTAATTTTCTTTAATAATCCTAGAATAACCAAATACGAAACTCTTTATGCAGCCACTAAATGAATATTATCCCATTTATGTTTTCTTAATTACTGTACCGTTAGTGTCATGCAAATAACATCAAAGGATAAACTGACATCCACAAACTACCGTAGATACTTTCTTAGTGAAGTTCTGAGTCTGACAATGCAGGACAAGAACAATGGTGGTTAACTACAAAGCCCTGTACCAAACAGTTTATGATCCAGTTTGTTACACATCAATAATCTTCAAACTAACAAATAAATAAATCAACTTCCCAAAATTTACAACAAGACGATTAAATATACCTGAGGAGTGATGACACCAAGTAGAACTGCTTAAATTACGGCCACCAGAGCACCTCAACCTTGCTCTAGCTCTCTCATCTGTATTTCACTTTTATTTCGTTTCTAATAAGGTCAACCAAGAGCTGGACACAAGTGCTTCATAAACTTTACGGCCAAACAAAACTAATCCCGCCTTCCAGGTACTCAGGCGCCGACCACCGACCCTAAATGTGTTTGTCTCGTCACAATATCTTAGTTATTTTACCACAATTTCACCCAGGTCACATCATTACACTACAAGACCCCACACATAGATACAATCGCCACAATATTCACTTTATTCCCGGTAAAAGGTAACAGTAGCCATCCCTCACCTTAGCTTGTGTTTGGCTCTTCTACTAACAACACTTCTTAACTCACCAGAAGGTTCTTTTTTATGTCAAACTCTATAAAAATATGTAATCATAAATTCTGAATATTAGAGATAAAGTAGCATTAATTCTGTATATAGTTATATTTTATAATTGACTGTGAATATCGTGCACTGGGGTTGAGAAAATGGGTAGGTAAAGTGTTACAAGAAAGAAAGCCATTAAGAATCGATAACTCTTGCTCTGTCCTCTTTGTTTAACTTCCCAGACTAAATCATTCTATATATCTAACATTCTTTTTTACAAATCTATAAGTTTTCTCTTACTATGTACAATTATCCCCAATAATAACTCATCACCAGCTGTGCATTGACAGACATATAAGGGATTAACTTACTCGTTTAGAATACATCATCTCATGTATGTAACTATAAGTTTATTTATATCTAATATTTTATTTCCATACTTTTACAATTTTATCTTGTGTGTGATGATAGAATGATGAGTGTTGAACAGAGTGAACCTTCCTGACTACCGGTACTGAGCACACTGGCCAGGGATACATACATTTATTCCTATGATGATCTACAGTTATTGTCAGCAAAATTATTTAGAATAAGTTAATTAAAGTTATACTTAATGTTATGTCTATCGTTTATAAAATGATGAAGATGTATTTGCATTCATTGAGTAATTTTACGAGGTTTAATCACACATTATCATAAGGTATTTAATTAACATTATGAAATTTATGTAACTTTAAATAACCAAAAGCTCACTAGACTTCAACTAATCAGATAATATAATAAATTTAAGTCATTTTGTCTAGTTAACAGTATAGAGTGGTAAGGTCGGTGATCGTCCTGGGAAGAGAGAGAGTCAAGGCGGTGGGCGGATCAGTGGGAGCTGTAGTGTTTGTCTCTCATTACTTCATCTTCAGCCAATATGGTGAGTTACAGCTCTAATTCTTCCATTTATATGATAAGATACAGTACCAGGAAAGTAAATATGAGAGTTGAAATATTGATAACTCTGGGGGAAGAGAGGAAAATAGTGAGGTGGTGTGTGACTTGTAATAAATAATTACTCTTGGACTTGTGATATTGTCTATTACACTCTAACCATGTCAGTGCTGTCCTTGATAACTGTTCACAATTACTACCTCCAATTAAGGCCGTAATTTTCTGCAAAAGAATCAATAAATATAGTCATTAGGAGGAAACTTTGTAAATCCCTTGAGTGACTTTAAGGGTTGAGTAATGGCTTGTTTTCCCTCGAGGTTTTCCCTTATAAACATGGATGAACAGAATGGGGAAGTAAGGATTATATTCCAGAAAAGCATCACCAGATTCCTAATAAATTTACACGGAACTTTCTGTGATAAAAGTTGCTCAGAATTGCTATGTAATGGCATACACCTTCAGTACTCTAGCTATTTAGAAGAACCTAACCTAAGCTTAAACTAACCTAACCTAGCATAACTTAACACCTGCCTTGGGTGAACTTACTGTTACTGAGACAGGGGGAAGCGGCTGTGAAGTCCTCCATGTTAGCCAACAGGACTTGATGTTTCATTTCTGCTAAACTCTTCAATGTTGGTTTTTTAAATCATTAGAAAACTGTATTGGTAAAACAGTAGCCACTTCCTTATCAGTTTATTAAGATTTACACTGTAATATCAAGAGTATGTTCTGCCAGATAGATTTCACCCAAATTCATAATACAGTACAGTATGTTCAGCTGAGTATGACCATCCAGGGAGTTTGAGGTTTGACTGGCCAGATGTAAAAATGACTCAATTATTTTACCACAATCCTGAAATAAAAATATTCTTGTTACTAAAATAAAAATATGAAAAACCCCCTCTCAGAAAGGCTTTAAAGTAAACAATTAATGCCTAGAAAAGTCTGGTGCCTCCAGTCTTATTTCAGTGGAGTTTAAGGCTTGTGCTTATGAAAACAACTAACAATATTTAAGGACAGTGGTTTTGGCGATCCAGTCATTGACGAATAACATTTCTCTCATTCAGATGTTTGCTCCAAGTTTTTCTTGTAAATAAAGATGGTGTTGCTGTCATCTGCTTGTTTCACATGACAAATGACAAATACAATGTGCACTGACATTACGATGCACGAGCTTTCCATACAAACTGTTGCGACTTAACCTAAAGTAATAAGTAAGCTTCCGTTAGGTTAAATAGGTATTGTTGGTTTGTGTGTTTCACCAAACTAATAAGTGATAGGTAGTGATTATTTGTCCTGTAACAGACTTTTACTTACCTCTGCTATATGTCCGGCATTTTTTCTAATTGATGAAGTTTGATGATCCTAGATGATTGAATTTTGTCACTTGCAAATTTAATCTAACCTAACCAAACTGTACTCCATTCACATGAGCTTTACAACCAGAGCCCAGAGCAGATTTTATTACTGCAGCTGCTTGGTTGGTGGATTTTTTTTTTTAACAGGGAATAGCCCACCCGGGCACAGGTCATCGACCCACAACGGGGCCTAGGTGGCGAAAAAATAAGAGTAAAAAGAAATTGAAAATAGAAAAGAAAAATATATTTATCTACACCACGAAGATGCCGGAAAACCAGCTTTTTAAAGTAGACAGATTTTATGAGTATGGAAACACAGAAGAAGACTGTGTGAGGAAAGAAGGAGGTACTATAATGGGTTATTCTAGTGTGACCAACAGCCACAGAGAAACCGTGGGCACCGTGGGCAAGACGGGTGTTACGAGCCCACGGCCTTGCCGGCGGTACACAGGATGCCAAATCCACCGAACATTGCCCGTTAAAGTACTGTACCTGTAAAAGAGAGAGAGTGAAGCAATTTTGTGGCAAAGAGAAAGGGAAGAAAGATTATCAACTAAAGGGGGAGAGTCAATAAGACGAAATGTCTTTGATTCCACCCTATCTAACAGTCGGACAGAAGAGGAGCCACCCCAGATATGAGAGCAGTACTCCAAGTTAGGACGAATGAATCCCTTATAATATAGAGATCTTCATTATTTAATTATTTTCTATATATTCTGTAATAACAAGTAATAATCACAATTAAATGTTGGTCAAGAATGATATCTGAAGCCAGGGAAGGAAAAAATAAATAACCTATGCACACAATTAAATGTTGGTCAAGAATGATATCTGAAGCCAGGGAAGGAAAAAATAAATAACCTATGCACATAAAACACATGATAGCATAGATTACTGAATCTTAAAGTGAAACTGATTGGGCGGGGGCATCTTGAGGTACCCGGTAAAAATTATATATTTATATATATATATATATATATATATATATATATATATATATATATATATATATATATATATATATATATATATATATATATATATATATATATATATATATATATATATATATACACTGTATATATAAGAATTTATTTTTTCTTCTCATTGGGTAGCTGGAACTTAACTAATTGTTTCCTTTTAAAGTAATGAAATGATAATATGTAATTTGATAATTCACATACATATATTCTTGTACAGTTGTGGAAATGTGTTTCTGCATCCCCTGTGGTTACCCGTGTAACCAAACAGCCAACCTATATGACTTATAGCAAACCTATCCACCAACCTGTTACATAAAATACATAGCTAAATTAAATAATTATGAATTAACTAAATAAAGCCCTTTTCCTTTTGTACGTTAGGTTCAATGGCTGCATTCAAGTGTCCAAACTCCAGTGTTTCACCAGTCAGCTGTGTTTGTATGGGTGGCATGAACGTTTGAAAGACCAAGACATGGTCATAAAGTAAAGCACTGTACTGTACAATGTTAATATGAGTGGATGTTCAGAAACCGAGGATTGCCTGCACAGTTATGTGATCAAAATATATTGGCTGAAAGGAGCACTTGATTTAGTACTGAAAATGGTCTAAGTACAGTATTTAACATCTTTTTTTTTCTTCAGATTCGATTCATATTGATTCAAAATCGTGCAGGAAAAACCCGCTTGGCAAAGTGGTACATGAATTTTGATGATGATGAGAAACAGAAGTTGATTGAAGAAGTACATGCAGTAGTCACAGTGAGAGATGCCAAGCACACAAATTTTGTTGAGGTGAGTCACAATTTTTTTTTTTTTTTTTTTTTTAAGCATGGATGCTATGTACTGTGTGTGTTTATGTCTAGCTATATTACTGTTCGCCCTGGTAAATCTAAGGCTTAGAATCCAGACTGACTCCTGAAAGATAGCAACTTGGGACTATTTAAATGATTAGCTACACTTTTCCTCCGTAACCATAACCGTTAACCCATAACTGGCAGCCCCCATGTGTACAAAAACGGAAGTCAAGGAACATTGTTTTTATTCAGTATTTTTGTATGCTGTTAGCCTGTTTAATTTTTCACTCTTCACTGTATTGCTCTTTATATTGCCACAAGTCATCGCATTATTTTATCTTATAAAATAGTCATGTGTTTCTTTTGCAATTGCAAACAATGTTTTTATAATTACTTTACTATTCAGAATGTATAAACATTATTAAGTATATTTTATGAAATTTACATTTCATAGAATGCTTGAAGCTTGAGTACTTGAACCTAATGGTACAGTGATATAACACCATAAAAAAAGGCTTTAAACTGATAATATAATCGATTATTTGCATGGATTAAGTATATTTTCTTCTACAATTTGGTGGGTCTTGGATCAGTGAATCATGAATTAAAAATCGTTGGATAGGGTGGAATTTACTAGCTATACTGTTCTTTTATTCTTGTTTTTTATCAAAACAGTTTCGAAACTTCAAGATTGTGTATCGCCGTTATGCTGGCTTATATTTCTGCATCTGTGTAGACATTGCTGACAACAATCTTGCATACCTAGAAGCCATACACAACTTTGTGGAGGTACTGAATGAGTACTTCCATAACGTCTGTGAACTTGATTTGGTATTCAACTTTTATAAGGTGAGTCCAGTACTGTATTTGTACTTTTTTATGATAAACAGTATATTTTCCTTGTAGAACCTTTCCTATCTGTTCATTTGCCAACTATCATTATCTTTTAGCTTTTTTACTGTCACCTGCATGGCATATTGAGTTATATTCAATGAAATAGTGATCATGCTTTTAAAAAAAAATTTACCTCTTGGTGGATTATGGCCATTTTGATGCAGGGTTCCCCATTCTGTGGTAGGTAGTCAGGTCTTGCCCTGCGCTCCAGCTTATGACTTTTATTAGTGCATCTTTTAAGGCAATAGCTTAGAGGATTTTTTTTTTATTCTAATATTTTACATAATTTTTCATATGCACAATATACAGGTATACTTGTCTCATGCTTTGCATTATCTCTCTCTGAAAGGTTGTTGCCACTGTATTGTTAAGTTTTAGCACCAAAAATTGGTTTTGCATGCAGATAATTCGCAGCTGCATGGGTTAAATGGCTATACTCCGTCCTTCAGCTTGTGTTAAACTCAAAACACATCCCAATTGTGGGGATGCATGCT